CCACTGGCCTTACAGGTTTAATATTCAAGGCATATCTTCAATGCCATTGTTTGATGTCTTACTTGTATTAAGCGAAAAGTCTTTTGAATATATCAGTTAAATATTTATCAAATTAACTTGGTATTTTTCTTTGCCGATATCTATATTATATAAACTCTTATATAACCAATATCACCTATTACCGCTTTAAATCGGATTAGAAATATTCGACAGCGCTAGTAGTCCCTAATCCGCTTCACTGTACTAAAAGATGCTGTATGTTATGAATAATGCAACTTTAAATCGGATTAGAAATATTCGACAGCGCCAGTAGTCCCTAATCCGCTTCACTGTACTAAAAGATGCTGTATGTTATAAATAATGCAGCTTTAATTCGGATTAGAAATATTTGACTTGGGGAATCAATAGTCCGTAATCCGCCTTCATTATATTAATTGATACCTCTACTTATATTATATTACTGGTTTAAAGACATTACCCTTTTTTTTTCTTGAAAATTCGTTTTGAAAAAGGTTATTATTTTTCATACATTTAGTTGAATCACGAATCTGTCTATGTCGGTGCTACACAACTTTTGTCAGCGTCTTAGAAACCAATAACCTAAAGACAAATACCATATGATTCACGTTTTATAAGGATAATCTGAACAACTGTTCAGCTTAATCTAAAACTAAATAAATCATAAAAAACTGAAGCATGTGTTTCATGAAAATTCTTGTCATGTGAAATCAGGCTTTTCATTTTCCACACATACTTCCAAAAATGTATTTAGTGTCTTATTTAAACGTATTCTGTTTCACTTTGACAAGAAACCGTTGACAAATATCTGTTGTCGGTCTTTAGAATAACATTGTTAAAAAAACTTATGTTTGTTATATTGTTAGTAACCAAAAGTTCGTTTTGTTCTTAGATAAAACAAAAACATCTTTCTTGGAAGGAGGAAAACTGAGACAAAAAAAAGAATTCCAATTTGTAGAAAGCATTCTGAAATAAACTTTGAATAGTGAATAAAAACACTAATTTACAAGCTTGATATCAAAGAAATGTAAGAGTAGTGTCATTTTAATACTGTTACAGTGTTACGTTAATTGCATCTTTAATGATAAGCAACAGTAGTAAATTTCACATCATATGAATGGTTTTAGTTTTTTTAATTTCTTTTTACTGCAACGTTATCATTATTGTTATGCAAACCTTGTTACTGAATTTCGTTATTTGGAGTAATACAAAATTAGCTTGTTTATCTGTTTACGCAGTTTAACCTTGTAATAAGAGACAATCAGACCTATTGTGAAATATCCTTCAACTTGTGTAACATTGAAAGACGTAGAAATAGCGTCTCTAATCAATGAAAACGATGCACTACTTACCGTGTTGTTGTGAGTAAATTTTTGATTAGCCGAGAGATGTTGTTTTATATTCTGTATAATGCGGTTAATAAAGACAATAGTGTATGATTTTAACTGTTTTTCTTTTACGATCCTTGAGAGAACGGTAAATATTTATTTATACTTTATTAAATCAGCATTACTTTACGTTCAGTACCCTTTTACGTGTTCTCCGGTAAGTCAGCTTTAAGTTCGTGGATTCACAACTCTAAAATCTGGCGTTCGGTACCCTTCGGTGGACAAGGCGCAGATAGCCCATGGTGTAGCTTTGAGCTAAAAATCAAACAAATATTTTTACGTTCTACCATCCCCACCCGTAGCTCAGCGGTAAGTCTGATGGTTTATAAAAGTAATATACTCGTAATGGGCACAGTATGAATAACCTCTTATGTAGCTTAATAATTAACAAACAATAAATGTTTCATCATGAGTGTTATTTTTGCCGCCATTACATGACAGTGTTCTTTTACTCAGTGTGTTGCTATAGTTATGTTACTAATGTTACTGATCTTTTACAAGTTTGTTTGTTTGTTTTTGGTTGTTTTTGTTTTTCTATTTCGCGCAAAGCTACACGAGGACTATCTGCGCTAGCCGTCCCTAATTTAGCAGTGTAAGACTAGAGGGAAGGCAGCTAGTCATCACCACCTCTTGGCCTACTCTTTTACAGTCACATTATAACGCCTCCACGGCTGAAAGGGCGAGCATGTTTGGTGAGATTCGAACCCGCGACCCGCAGATTGCGAGTCGAGCGCCCTAACAACTTGGCCATGCCGGGATCTTTCATAGGATGCGTTGCTATAGTATTATGATTTATCTCTACCACCAGATGATTTTGTTGGAGACTAAAACTGTTTTAGGTTTGTCACACTCATTTCATTCTGTATGATCTCGCGGTGGGTCAGCGGAAAGTTTATGGGCTTATAATGCTAAAATCGGGTTTAAATCTCCGCGGTGAACAGAGCGCAAATAGCTCATTCTTTAGCTTTGTTATAACAAAAAAAAACATTCTGAAGAATGCCTTTTCGGTTACGATATGACATGGGCAGTTGTATACTGAAATTCAAACGTATTTTTATGTTGTTTATAGATCTGTTTTGAATCATTTCTATCCTCCAAGGAATTGTCCTTTTTGTTGCTGAAGGTATGGAACTCCTAATGGATGTTGCTGACTTCTTTAGAAATGTCTGATTCGGTATGACTAACGTTAGTTTATACTTGCTGTAGATTTTCAATACCATACATCTACGTCTTTACTGTTGCCGTGGTTACAATAAGTATGATAAATGGTAAGATGTATACAAGTAATAATCATTTTTAGAATATCGCTGCTTTTTCTTTGTCTAGCTACAATACACAAAAGGTTTTAGGTTGGCTTCTCTATAAATAATTTTATCGATTTAAATAATGATGTTTTAAACTTGTATTTTACTACAAGAAATGACAGATATACTATTACACGCTGGATTAAACTTGTTGTTGCTTTTCCATTCTGCAAGACGCTTCGGCCATGTTTAAGGTACTTGGAAGGAATCGACTAGACACTACATCACTAAAGTACGGCCCACGACGACACTGCTGCCTCTGACAACAAGATAAGGTCCTCTTGAAGGCTCGTCGAAACTTGATAGACATAGCGTTGTATAGGATAGGGTTGATAGCACTATTAATGAAAATCATGGTTTTACAGAACATCAGGAACCAGGGCTCCATGTAGCGGTGGACAGCGAAGGAATTGTATACGACTAGAGCTCGGTAGGGTAACCACAGTGTTGCAAAGAGAGCCACTACAACAGCAAGCATTTTCACCACCTGAGTTTAAAAAATAAGAAGATTTCCTAAAAAATCTGAATTTTGGTTTAGTAAAAACCTTTTATATTTAACCTGTACTTATGTACAAGTACTACTGATGTAGAAACTATTTTAGTCTACATTATTTTGTCTAATATCAAAGCATTTCACTAAATTAGGTCTATTGTATTTATATGGTGGCTATGATTTGTAGCATAAAATATGATTTCTGGTTCAAAAAAAAGAAGATAGAAAAAACCTTAAAACATACAGTTTGTAATTCTGAAATGATACCCATTAAAGGAAGCTAGTTTTACTGTTAAATACAATATTGTAGTATAATAGTTACCTTGTGTAAAGTTAGTAACATTATTAATTAGAAACTAATACGAAATATATATATATTTGTTGAATTATGTGGGATATAACATTTCTGAAGCCACGAGAAGTTGGACATGCTCTATATTACAACTATGGTGACGTCATTCAGTTCAAAGAGCGTGACAAAGCTCTTATGACAGCGAATGTCGAATGTTGCCTATCCTCCTTTTGGTTAGTAGTCCAATATTAGGAACGGCTGTACCTGAATCCTTGGGATCTGTAACCTAGACATTTAGCCTATGAGCACATGAGATGCCGTTCAAGTTGAAAAGTCCCCCAGTGGCACAGCGATATGTCTGCGGACCTACAACGCTAGAATCCGGGTTTCGATACCCGTGGTGGGCAGAGCACAGATAGCCCATCGTGTAGCTTTGTGCTTAATTACAAACAAGCAAATTCAAGTTGAAAATTCCCATTATTGAAGCCTCACGACGCATCAACATAAACAAATGCGTTTATTTGACAAACGGCGCTGTCTGAAGATGTATCATTTAGCTCAAAGACGTTAGGTTTTAAAGAAAGTGCCACGATAAAATAGTTTTATTAGAAATGAAAGAGGCCAACATTTGTGGGCGAACGCAACATGTGTCCGCCATTCAATCTCAACATGACCAATTTTGATATCAGAAAAATCGTGAAAAACACAGAAAAATCCAAAACTAAACGGTCTATATCACTGCTTCGGACGTGCAAGAAGGTATATTTGTACCAAAACCCATGTACGTTAGTTGACATACACATGAATAGTTCACGAAAACCCTAAATTGTGCTTTTCTTGCTGGAAAATTGAGCAAAAGGCAAAATTCTACAATTATCTATATCTCTGTTTGGGACCTGTATAGTTTCATTAAACAAAGTTACGCCTACGTGAATTTGTTTGTTTGACCACGTCAAATTATTTCAAATAGACCAGGATTTATCGATCTAACACATAATGCATGCAAGAAAGCGTAGCTTAAATGCAGTGCGTGAAAATTATAGAATAAGGAAAATTCAAGCGAAGGGCATGAAAACCACCGCAAATGTTTTGCGGGTCATAGCTAGTAATAGGTTATTTTGTTTACTACTGTTTCATTATAATTTTTTCTCTCTTTTACCACATTTGTTAATATTTTCACCGATACAGGTAACATACAATGATAAATAAAAATATTGGAATTTTAGTAATTATAGGGGGATCAAGATGTCACAAAAAGTATAATTTTAGGGTTTTCTGACAATTACTCCGTCGTATTTCGGCCAATTTACACGAGATTTGGTACAAAGATACTTTTTTACGTACGTAACTTTATTTAGTATAATTACACGTAAAGTAAATAATAAAGTAAAGTAATGGTATTTATAATAGTACACGGAGTATGAAATAGTTATGAGTGTTTAGTGTAAGACACGGTTTTACGAGTTGAAATAAAGAAACTCACAAAAACGAAAATAAAATGCGTACCAAAGAAAAATGTAGCTAAAAGGTGTTTATAGCAATCTATGAAACGAATCGAAGCTACATTATTGCAAAGTAAAGTAAGTGTAAAGTTGTAATGAAGACAAACTTAGCTGAATATGCAGAAATATCTGAGTGCATGTTCACAAAATGATAAATATATGGCTTTGAACGAACTGAGCATGCGTATTTTAGACCTAAATAAGTCTAGAAAGCCCACAGAAATTGTATATAGTGTAATATTAATTTTTGTAGGAAATTACATGCGGGTTAAGTGTTGTTTGTGTGAAATACCTTGCAAATAAAAAAAAACCTAAAGTTCACATCGAAACCAGTCGAAGCCAGTCGCCACGTGATGACAATGACATTGTACAACCGAGTACAGTAATCGTTGCATTGAAAAACACAGGTAATATGATATTAAATTAAAAAGCCAATATGCAATCCACACTCTTCAGACAAAGGCCTTTCTAGCGATATGAGATTAGTGGCATTTGATTGAGAAGTTTGCAAGAAAAGTTCCGGACAGACAAACGTAGTGTATTATTTATATAGATTCAGTAATATAAAATGACATTAATAAGTATATGATAATGGATGAATTATATTAATGTTAAAATAACCCACCATCATAAAGGTCGTATTAGTAATATTTGCAGTTCGTGTTTTTATCTATATAGTCAGATTTGAATTGTAGGTTAAGAAGTAAGTTTCACTTGTCTATAAGTATGGAAAGATTTTTTTTTTTCATAGTCAGATTTGAATTGCAGGTTAAGAAGTAAGTTTCACTTGTCTATAAGTATGGAAAGATTTTTTTTTCATAGTCAGATTTGAATTGTAGGTTAAGAAGTAAGTTTCACTTGTCTATAAGTATGGAAAGATTTTTTTTTCATATTGAAATTAATCCTGTATATTGGTCTCTTGATACTGAAATATATTATTTTCAGTTAATCATGTAATTAACATGGGATAGCGATTTTCATGTAACTTGACGGATGATTCCTTATACCATAAACAAGTTGGTAAAAAGCTATATTTTCAATTCTTTTCGTTTTTGCCAATTAAATTACTTTAGTTTTTCGTTGTTTCGTAAATCTCCAAATTAAAAGCTGCTTTGACAGTATAAAATGCATATACATAAATATCATTATATTTCAACCTATCTTTACAAATAAACAAATATATATTTGACATATAATGTAAAGAGTAACTTAAGCTAATAGCAAACCTTATTGTAATATGAAGGTAATCACTTAATTTTACAATTATTACAAAGTAACTTTTTGAATGCTTTGATAGATAAATGTGGTGCCTCTTGTGAGTGTAGTTGTTTGTTGTTAAACATAAAATAATACAATGAGTTATCTACACTGGACCTATAGTGGGTATTTGACCACAATTTTTAGACTTATAAGTATATATGAATATATTCTTGAAGAAGTGTTAAGTTTATTCAACTCACAGAAAAATATACATTCTATCAGATTAGAATATTTAATATCCGAAGTTTGTATACGGAACTGTAGCGTAAAGTACTGTATTCCGAGTTTCTGTATGTGATTTTAATATCTTAGTTTCGTTTACAGCGAGAATTAAAACAAAAAACCTAGAGATAAGATGACAGCGATAAAGTGTAGCAGGATGGTGTTGGAAACCATAAGGGAGTCATATGACGTCAGATATCCCTCTTAGCAACCGTCTTGATGAGGAAATAATACTACCCTTGGTTCTCAAGAAAGCGTCACTTCAAAGACAAAAAAAGCCAAAACATTCTGATATTTGATTTTATCTCCTCCATAAAGCAGAAATTAAAAAGTTTTCTATTTTCAACACTTTCTGTTAATTACATAATTCATTCCAAAAGTATAGGTCATTTTTGGGTTTGTTCGGACAAAGACCACACTCGAAAACTTACTATTATACTTAATTTTTCATTAATATATTAAATTGTGAAGTAATAACTTAACAACGTTGTGTTATATTATATCAAATACACACATTGTTTACATCAAACTGCTACAAATACCTCATAATATTGTCATGATTGAAGTGAGAAAAACACCCTTATTAATAAGAAACTCCTGTTGGTCCGGAACAAATATGTTCCAAACTTCAGAGTGTTGTTCAGTTTTTTCCTCAAAAGACGGAAAACGTGCATGTGCACTAATAGTAAAGATCCCATCTAACAGTGTTGATGCAGTTATTAGTAAATTATTGTGTTTACTATATTAGATTACAGATAGAACGTTTTTATCAATGTTCCTCTTTAGAATGTTTAAATATTTTTAGCGATCATCAGATGAGTGGTCACTTTGTAAGAATTTAAGTTTTTGATTAAACTAAAACTTTTCCTGCTTTTCAGTGAGTAGACTAAACCTCAAACTTTTGCAATAATATGTTAGAAACCTTTAAAAAGATCAAATATGCCATAAATTTCGTATGTTTGTTTAGCTCTTCAACGGGGGCATGCACAAGGGAGGCAAGCGGAGCACAACCCAAATAACTATGCATATGGACTTGGTCATTCTGGTGAGTATAACGCTATTTATTTCTATGCATATGATGTATGTACATGTATTGATATATGTGTGTGTGTTTAACGTACCCTCAATAGCTGTCAACTTTAAATTCCTGTTCCTGTCGCAAGTAACCGTAACAAAATTCTAGCGCAGCTGAGCAAGGCGATAAAACTTGGGAAATACTCATGCAAGAAAAACCTGCCGTCAATACTAACACTAAACGTTTTGCTAGCTATACACTAAAGTGTTGTTTTTTTACATGTTTTTTTTTTTTTACATTTGCATGGAAATACGTTACCAATCAATTTTGATTTTCTCCCTCCAAATAACCCATCTTTGTGAACAAATCCTATTTCTAGAATAACGAGGGCACAAGTAACTGATGTTTTAGCTCCAGCAAACTGAATGCTTGAACTAAGATTATTTAATGACTTATTGATGTTTAGGTTAAATAAGAGTAAACACATAGATACAAGTAGTTTTGAAATAATGAAATATATTTATAAAAAAGACTGAAAGGCGTATTCTCGCATTCGCAAGTTAGAACAGAATTTGTATGCTACGATTATAACATCAGTTAACAAAAAGAGGAATCGGTTAGCTAACTAATTTAAAAGCTAAATTTTCAGTCTACGCTATATGTGATGATTAGGCATCAAAATAAATGATTCGATACTGGGATGTTTTTGTTTTGTTTTTTTTAATTTAAAACATTTCTATTACGAACACGCCTAGCATGGCTCAATGGTGAATGTACCTGACTTTATATCTGAGATTGAGCGGTTAATGTTCCAATACCACCAAAACAAAAATCGTGCTCCCCAGTTTGGGGTCCTGGGTGAGTTATAAGAGTTACGGGTAAATCCCACTATTCAAAAGTTGGCCTTGTTGATGATCTATAACTGGCAGGAGGTGGTGCCATCTATTGTTATGAACCTGACAGTAAAAATACAGAAGTTTCTCTCTTATGTCCAGGCCTGCCATGACCAGGTAGCTAGGGCGCTCGACTCGCAATCTGCTGGTCGGGGATTCGAATCCCCGTTCCACCAAACATGCTCGTCCTTTCAGCCGTTGGGGCGTTATAATGTCACGGCCAATCCCACTATCCCTTGGTAAAAGAGTAGCCCAAGAGTTGGGCGGTGGGTGGTGATGATTAGCTGCCTTCACTGTTAAATTAGGGATGGCTAGCGCAGATAGCCCTCGTGTAGCTTAGCGCAAAATTAATAATAAACAAACAAACCCTTATGTCCAACTTCCTAAAATTACCGATAGGCGAAAACGGCATCTATATAAGAAACATTTTAAGTTGTGGCATTGATCACATGTTTAATAACCCAAAGCATACACGAATAGAGTAATTAGTGATTTGAATCCCCTTGTATTGAGTTATAGTATCAACACAAACACGGAGAAACATGCACAAGAGAATATAATATTACCACCATAAAGAGATAAGTAAATAGAATAATTTTTACAAATCTTTTAAATAAAGAATTGAGAAACGGTGAAAAAGACAGACCAGAATTTCACCGAAAGGGGTTTTTTATTATTTGAAAATAGCATGATTTTTTTAAGCTGATATGTGCAACAAATATATATATATAACATTTATTTTTTTATATTCAGGGAAATGTGTTCGAAATACTAATAAAAGAACACTTTATAATGACGCAAATTAATACAACTCAAAGCATTATTTTTTGGACTGCAGAAGATCAGAGATATCTTAGATCATGTTATACTGGATCTACAAACATACTAAATATTAATAATGGTTGTAATTTCAACAAACCAACGTTATTCCTCTCATGGATGTTTTATGTTGTGTTTTCAAATATTTAGAGTGAAGGTTTTGCCTACTTTTATATTGTTAACGTAAAACATGTATTTTCTCTATTCAGGCCCCCCAGTGGTACAGCGGTATGTCTGCGGACTTACAACGCTAGAAACCGGGTTTCGATACCCGTGGTGGGCAGAGCACAGATAGCCCATTCTGTAGTTTTGTGCTTAACTTCAAACAAACAAACAATTCCCTATTCAGTTCTAAAACAACTTTTTATGTGTGTGCTTTTGTTTATTTTAACGCAAAGCTGCGCAGTAAGCTCTATACGCTCTGACTGCCACGGGGAATCGAACCTTGGATTATAACATTGTAAGTCAATAAACTTACCGCTGATCCATCGGGGGGTACCATAAATATATGCTAATAGAAAAAAGTATGAAAGCGAATGATTTTTATGAGAAAAATCATACAAATGTTATACACATTAATTGCTATTTGGCCAGCAGGTTAGGAAAACAAACCACGCTTAAAATTGGTTTTATTTTCTAAAAAAAAAAGATTATGTTAGAAACAATAAAAACGGTGAAACAAAGATTGATGGTACTTTTTAATTTTTTATATTGCTTAAAGAAAATGTATTATAATTTATATATCTGATAGGTTTCTGATGCGACAAGAAACTCGCTTAGAATTAATAAACTATAATACAATACAGAAATGTATTATTCAAGTATTTCTTACATGCATTAAAACGAGTAAAGTTTTATAACTTCTGTATTAGTAAAACAACCAAAATATAGGCAAATTAACTCTTAATTTGTCACGTTCTACTTTTACCAACACGATCTTTTGTTATATCTTACATTTGATTTTCTTTAACAAAAATTATTTTGACGTTTAACACTTTCTTCTAAAGGTCACAAGCTATTTTGTTATTAATTTTAGTGCTATTAATGTTAATAAAATAGGTCTTCTAAAGATAAATTATACATACTAGTCACAAGGATGCATAAAACCTGCCAACTGTACCTGCACTCTGGTGCTTGGATTGCTGCTTTTTACGGAATCTCCTGGAGAGTTTCCTCCTTTAACCATGTTTCTGGGAATCTCACTGGTGAAGAGGATCCTTGCTATTAGTCCATATAGCATACAAGACAGAAGCAGCGGGAAAATATAGAAAAGCATCAGATCCGCAAAGAAATAGCCCAGGTAATGTTCTCTTGAAAGAGCAAAGGTGCAGGTTTCCACATCTGCGTGGCCTTTGTAGTAAATGGGAACTGTTTTTGTTAGGAAAAGCCAAGGAGAGCAGTAGAGACAAGCGAACACCCAAACACCGATTATAATCTTCTTGGCTCTGTTGACGGTGCAAACCATCTGGGCCTTCATGGGATGGCAGATGGCGATGTACCGTTCTATTGTGAAAGCTGTGATGGACAACGACGAAGCATTGATCCCTAAATATTGAAGAAAGATGAAAATAATACAACCAGCTCGACCCCAGATCCACTCATCTCCTAGAAGAAAGTAAGACAAGACCTCGTTGGGTACAGAAGCTATGAGGACCATTAGGTCAGCTATAGACAAACTGACAAGATAACAGTTGGTAGGGGTCAGCATACTACGGGTATTGGTTACAACTATTACAACCATAATGTTACCAAGCACGCCAATCAGGAAGATTAAACCTTGAAATGTAGTGCCAATTACTCGGTAGTAAATTGGATAGTAGGAAGGTTCTGGCAACATCGTAGTGTTCCAAGTATTCGTCGTTAAGTTACAAGTTGAAGAATAACTACCAGAGATATCGGTGTTGCTCGTATCGCAAGCAGAAATGTCAAAACCTGTCGATGAAATTGTTGAAGACATCGTCGATTATTTTTTATTTTTACCAAAGCATCAACGAAAAAAATTGAACTTTTTTAAGTTGGAACAATATTTCAGTTGGAAGATATCGGAAGAAAACTTTTTGAAAGACGTATTAAAGCGATACAATTGGAGATAGGCTTTTTTTTTTCAAATATAATTTACCTTCTCACTTGAAATACTTAAAATGATATTGGATTTTCAGAGGAAAGTTTGATACAAAATTTAAATAATTAATATGCTATTATTCAAAATAATACCAGTAACCTGCGAAACCCTTGTAATGCGGGTTGATATTTCCCTGAAAGTACTTCTAGTATCTAGTCTATTCTCCTCTAAGTATAACACTGAACTGTGATCTAAACAGCCGGTTCGTTATCAATCTATGATTTGTGGGAACGTAAGTGTTGCCATGGTAACGCATTTCAACATCATACTTTGATTGGATAAAAGCTTTCTGACGTAAAATAATGTGTTTGGTTAATTCACCATGTGAGAGGTTTTGTTACAGGGGCCAGACGCGTACGTGTTCCTTTTTGCCTTTACAGAATAAAATAAACACCCCTCAAGAAGCTGAAGACTTATGAAAAGAAAAAAACCTTTTAAAAATTTTCTCGACACCTTAAATTAACTCATTAAATAAGTCATGATTTTTCTCTAAGGTTCTAAATCGTATGTTTCATGCATTATGTAACATATACAGTTTATTAAATGACACAAACTATACTTATATACAATTTTCCTTTATCATAATGAAAATAAACCGTGAACAATAATCATACGTCAACAAACATAATATAATATCAGCAAAATTATTAGTAGTGATCTTTACCATTTGAACTTACTAGAATTTTAGTTTTACCCTGATAAACCTAAAACATATTCAATAGATATCTTAGATTAAATCAGTTTTATATCTCCACCTTGTATATATATACACGTGGTACTTGACGTATTAATAAATTGAACTTTTATTCCCTGAAATCACTGTAGATTACAAGCGGTATTTTTTTTCTTATTGTTTTGATTAGCCTGTAAATTAACTGCAATAAACTTTAATGAAGCTTCTTCGGGACTTATTTTAACAATTTACATATCTATTAATTTTTCTCCTGTCCACCCCGTGATCTACGATTACAGAGGTTAAAATCCCTATTCCTTCTGTTGCAATTCAGTTAAAGTGTGAGGATTTACAACTACAGATGATACTTAAAATTGATCCATTCTGGGAGGATCACATTATATGACATTCAACAGCTAAGTACTTCTATTATGTTATTATAAAATCATGCAAGGTACGAAACTTTAGCTTTAAAAAAAACGGATATTTATAATGTTAAACCATACCAGTATAGCAAGGGAAGGAGTGATTTCAGAAAGAAAATAAACTAGATGCTCCACGACCGGCTACCGTCGCACATCGGAGGTAGTAAAAAAAGATATCCAGCTTCAGTGACCAAGAGTAACTCAAAATCAAAGTGGTCCATTGCATCTAAAATAGGAACTTCCCTTGTAACTGTCAACAACATAATTCATACGGATTTAATCTACAAAAGTAAGTAAAGAACCGTATTCACAAGCTCCTCCAGAAACCTTGTAACTGTCAACAACATAATTCATACGATTTAATCTACAAAAGTAAGTAAAGAACCGTATTCACAAGCTCCTCCAGAAACCTTGTTACTGTCAACAACATAATTCATACGGATTTAATCTACAAAAGTAAGTAAAGAACCGTATTCACAAGCTCCTCCAGAAACCTTGTAACTGTCAACAACATAATTCATACGGATTTAATCTACAAAAGTAAGTAAAGAACCGTATTCACAAGCTCCTCCCAAAGCACATGTGAGATACTAAATTTCAAATATGAAACAGAGTTTTTTTTTCAGGGGATTTATAGTACTTGCAGATTATAGGTATGATAGTAAGTTCAACATTTAGGGAGTCGATGGAAATCCCAGTCAAACTTTGCAAGCTGTAGGCTAATGAGCTGACAGCACTATACCGTTAGGAAATACCATCTTGTACGGACTGTAATGGATACCAATACAACATGGCTCCATCAAGACAAAACATTCAGTCACATGTCCAAGTAAACATTCCAGTTTCTCCACAACATGCAAGTACATATGGGAATTCATACAATACCATTGAAAGACATCTCTCATGAGCTTCACGTACAGCTGGTAGACTTTGGAAAGCATATAGTAGAAGTGAAGAAACAATGACCTCAGTACATTGGGCAGCAACATTTTACACGTTAACTTGTGCTACACCACCAATAGCTTAAAAAAGGGTCATTATGAACTGGTGGAAGAAGGAACTCTAATGCCTAGGACTTATCTTTGTGTAATTAACATAGACTGTAAATACTCTTTTGAGTATATTCTTTTGTGTTGTAAAGTATAACTTATTTTAATTGTTAAAAGTTATTTTTTATTATTCGTGTACCAACGAGATCATCGCTGACATATTCAACACGGATTTAGTAACATTTTCTCTCAATTTTCTAAAGATAAAATGGAAGAGAAACATTATTGATTCAAAGCGTAAGCTACGTTGTTTTGTAAAGCAATGTTCACCAGTGGTTTAATCCTACTGTCTAGAACACGTTGATGTTCAGCCTGGACAACATGTTTGTATATATATATATACTCGTCTTTGGTGCAGTATTATTTAACCAATATAATAGTTATATGCCATATAGGCAGCAATTAGCAGAAAAAGTTCATATAGTCCTTTAAATTTGTTATGTGTTTTTGGAAAGGAAATAGGTTTTTCGAACCGAATATACCTAGTTTATTGTGCATGTGTATGATTTGAATGACAGTGGAAAAAGTACATTATTCTAATATACTTAAAAACCAAAATCAGTAAGCCTATCACTAAGACTGCCAATTAGGAAAGTTTTAATTCTGAGTAGATAGACTTGTATTTTTCTTTTGGTATTATAAGGGGCAAAGTACAAAATGTAAAATTATGGTTTTTGGTCTGCTACTTCTTTACGTTTCGACTAGTCAAGATAAACCTTTGCGCAAAGATCCTTATGACAACTCTCACAGACTGAATCAGGAAGATTTGAGATTTGTGCCTTTTAAACAGTTTTACAGGGGTCAAAACCTTTTCGCAAAGTTAAGGCTTTTCCTTTATATTTTTGCCAACCTAGATAAGACTTTGACACCTTGCGACAGCACCTCATTGACTGAAACAGACAGAATTTGAATTTGTTCCTTTCTTGCGATTTATCAGGGCAAAATATATCGCAGAACTAGAGTTTTTGGCCTATTATTCTTCTATTTTGAGCAATCAAGGTGACACTTTGCACAAATTAAAACAGACATATTTGTTCCTTTCTTTGGTTCTAGAAAGAAAATATCTTTACATACACTGGGAACTCTTTTTTTTTATCTTTGATCCCTCTAGAACCAAAGAAAGGAACAAATATGTCTGTTTTAATTTGTGCAAAGTCTCACCTTGATTGCTCAAAATAGAAGAATAATAGGCCAAAAACTCTAGTTCTGCGATATATTTTGCCCTGATAAATCGCAAGAAAGAAACAAATTCAAATTCTGTCTGTTTCAGTCAATGAGGTGCTGTCGCAAGGTGTCAAAGTCTTATCTAGGTTGGCAAAAATATAAAGGAAAAGCCTTAACTTTGCGAAAAGGTTTTGATCTTTGACCCCTCTTCTAACGTTTACATATTAACAACCTACGTTTACATTGTGTGAATTAAACTATTAAAGAAGAGGTTGTTATTAATAGTTTTAATTCACATAATGCATAGAATTCCATACACCATATCAGATACTAAATCTTATTTCCCTAAAACTTATATGTAAAGATTTTGTTATTGTGACTATGTTTTGTAAAGTGACTGTTTAGCATGCTTCAATAATCTGTTTTACAAAGAAGTCTCAAGTTGATACTGTGTTAGGCGTCTATCCCTCTGCAGTATATGTCATAGTCTGTTCTCAAGCCTTTCTACGTGATGACCGTTTATCTATTCGTCGTTCCCAACAGGAAAATATGATCTATTACACTTTCATACATAAGTATTCAAGCGAGGAAAAACAGTGTAGGTATTTGGAGGCCGAAATTTGCATTTGGTGAAAGAAATTTTGTAGTTTCATTTTTACTTTCTTCAAATATTATTTATTGGTATATTCGAATCAATTAAAGCAATTTCTAATTCGAATTTTGTTTTGTTTTGTTTCTTGTCGTACTGTATAACTGCATTTTCACTGATGTAGCATTAGCGAGTATTGATTAAAAACGTTATCATTTATATTCGTAATAACCAGAACTGACAGATTTCAAATAACGGAAAGTCACGAATGTCTGAATTTCAAAGCGTTAGGGACAAGAAAATGCAATTTAAGTTTAAGGATAGATTTGATGTTTCAATAATCCCCAAGAAAAAACCGATTATTTTGGCAAATCAAATTTATATAATATCAAACATGTAAATCATGCTAATGTACATTTTGACAATACAATGAGTCAATTTTCTGATCGTTTCATATATCTTTTATTAGAAAAGAATTTGAAAGGTTTAACGAAAAAACTATCTTGTTTAGAGATTAATATCAGATAGAACATAAGCTGAAAAATTAATTATAAGATAGATTGCTGTTGTTCGTTTGTTTGTTTTGAAGTTAAGCACAAAGCTGCACAATGGGCTATCTGTGCTCTGCCCACCACGGGTATCGAAATCCGTTTTCTAGCGTTGTAAGTCCGGAGACATACTGCTGTGCCACTGGGGGCTGCTGTTGTTCGTTATTAAACACTAAGCTACACAAAGGGTTATCTGTGCTCTGCTCACCACTGGTATCGAAACCCGTTTTCAGACATACCGCTGTGCCACTAGGGGGGGGCATTTCTAAGATAGGTAGTGATAAAATTTGACATGATAGTGTTGTAGGTTTTTATTAAAGCCAACACTTATGCTTGTAGTAGTTTTCTATCATAGTTTAAACGTCAGAAGTGTCTAGGGACATTCTG